TGCGCCCCTTGACGCTCGTTTGGGGTGCTCTGCAGACCTGACCCCCCAGCTCTACTCGACGCTCTGCACACGCTCCCTATCCCTGTGTTTAGCATCACCTCACCTTGATGTCGATCTTAAGGATCACCTCGGTTTCGGAGGGCACATCCCTAAGATTGTCTTCGCTGTTTGCTCGCCCATCTTAGGGACAGTGAAAGGGGTAAGTTCGAGGCCGGTTAACAACACAGCAGATGCACGATTCCCCGGAACTCCATGCGGCGTTCTCGGGTCGGCGCTGGGGCCTCTCGGATCGGCGCCCCTGGCGCCGATATCCGAGGAACTCGCGCGGGGCGTTGAGAAATCATATTTGTGCAATTTCTGGTTTGCCTATCCTCAGCGATCAGGAGGGAAAAACACACAGACACAATGAATCGCCGATTCCCAGAAAAATATGCGAAGATATGGGAGGTGGGGGGAAAGACGAAAATCCAGGACAAAATATTGAAGAATATGGGGAACCCTTGGATTTGTGTGTGTGTTTATTTGTGTGTCCCTGGGCCCCTTCAATGGGGTCGGTGTCAGAAAAGGGGTCTGGCCAGCGTTCGGGTCGGCCGAGTCTTCCCAGGCGATGCTCAGGAGGCCCGAGTGGGACTCAACCGCTTCGTCGTGGCCCGGAGGCGGCGGCTCCACGGCGGCTTGTGGTCAGGTGGGGCGGCCCCGCACTCGAGAGCAACTCCTCTTGAACCTCGTGGGGACCTGACTGCTGGGGTGAGGCCTGCATGAGGACCTGTAGTCAACGGATGTCCTGGTTCGGGCACGCTGTCCCGAGACGGGTTGCGTCGGCGTCCGGTTGGCCAGTCGTGCCCTGCCAGTGCACCTCGGCCACGTTCTAGCCGTGACACCTCTGGCTCTTTGCTGAAACGGCGTCCCCCCTTCTTCCGGAGCCGTGCTCCCTCTGATCCCTTTGTCTTCGGTTCCTCCCTGCCACGTCTTCCACCCACAGGTTGCGCCCAGCAGGCTCGTGCACGGCTCGGCTCCACCGTAGTCGCCGAGTGAGGGGAGGAGGAGGAGGAGGAGGAGGAGGAGGAGGAGGAGGAGGAGGAGGAGGAGGAGGACGAGGACGAGGAGGAGGAGGAGGAGGAGGAGGAGGAGCTCGAGTAGGAGATCGAGGAGGACGAGGAGGAGGAGGACAAGTAGTAGGAGGAGGAGGAGGAGGAGGAGGAGGAGGAGGAGAAGAAGGAGGAGGAATAGGTGGAGCAGGGGGTGAATACCTTGCGGTCTTGCCCCCTGCCCCCCCTCCCCGCGAGCCGCTCGACTACGCGCTGCTGGGCGGACTCACGTGCCTGGCCCAGCGAAACAACGGCGAGGGAGGGGGTCTTGGATAGCAGATGAGGGCGGGGATCACGCTCCTCCTCCTCCTCCTCCGCCTCCTCTCCTCCCGCCTCCTCCTCCCCCTCCTCCTCATTCTCCGCCTCTTCTTTTTTTTGTTGCTGCTCCTTCGTCCCTTCCCCTTCTTCCTCCCTTTCCCCCGTCTTGCTCTTTGTTTTGTTGCGCTCCCTCATTTCTCCCTCCACCATTCCCTCCTCCATTCTCGATCCCTCCGTCCTTGCTTCCTAGCGCTTCGCTCCTCCTCCTCGTCTTCATCGTCGCCATCGTATCCCTCGTCTGCTTCCCCCCTCCCTCCCTTCATCTCTTCCCGCCGTTCCTCCTGCCGCATCCTTACATCCCTCCCTCCTTTTTCCTCTTCCTCGCCACTCCTCCCTCTCCTGCTTCCCTCCTGTCCCCGCGCGCGCGGGAACGCGCTCTGAGGGAGGAAGACTCGGCCTTGCGCGTGGTCTCAGTCTGACCTGCTGATCGTTGAGCGTCGAGCTCGGCTCAAAGCTAAGCCTCACACGATCGTAACCGTTCGGAGACCGTTTGGGATGTCACGAGGACAACGAACACTGATTCTGATAATTGTACAAGGAAGAGCAGGAGGAGATGTGGCAGGAGGGGGAGGACGAGGCAGAGGGGGGGGGATTGGGCAGGAGAGGGGGGTGTGGAGGAAGGGGAGGAGGAGTGGGAGTGGGATGAGGAGGGGGGAGGAGGAGAAGGAGGAGGAGGAGGAGGCAAGTGGAAGGAGGAAACGGAGGAGCGGGGGGGGGGGATGAGGATGGAGGAGGAGTAGGAGGAGGATTAGGAGTAGGAGTAGGAGTAGGAGTAGGAGTAGGAGTAGGAGTCAAGCTAGCCAGCTCGAGCGAGTCAAGCATGGCATGCCCAGTCCCACCCGCCCTCCCACAACATAGAAGCAAAGCTGGCACAACTGGGGGCCGAAGTCACACCGGCCAGCCGGTTTGGTACAGCTGATGCGGCCGCGATGGCGGTTGCCGACGGGAACTGGCGAGCGCGTGTTGAATGCCGCGCACACATTGCCAGACGAGTCGAGAATGGCCCGGTACACCGCAGGAAGCCAGAGGTGGCCGGAGGAAGCCCGACGGTCTGACAGGACACCCCAAAGCATTTTTGTGAAAAAGCATTGGGTTTTTGATGTTTTTATGTTGAAATGCTTGCAAACACACGGTGTTCGGTAGGATTCTGACATGAACGCGCGAGTGTGCTCTTTGTGGTATGTTTTGCACAGGATTCGCGGCCTGGGTGCATGACAGAGCATCGCGAGTGCACCGCGCGATGACGTGAAATCGCTGGATTTGACAGAATTCTTAAGATTCCTATGGTTTTCCTATGATTTCAGCAAGAGAGCCCGGGCGGGAAATTTGTACAATTTTTGTGAAAAAGCATTGGTTTTTGATGTTTTTATGTTGAAATGCTTGCAAACACACGGTGTTCGGTAGGATTCTGACATGAACGCGCGCGTGTGCTCTTTGTTGTATTTTTGCAATGGATTATCGCCGTGGACGACAGGACGTCCATGTCGAGAGGAAAAAATAAGAAAAATGTTGATTTTGTATTGTTTTTTACAGGTTAGGATGGGACCCCCCGGATGCGGCCCCTAATGGCCGGCCTGAGGGGGAAGTAGGAGTATATTCTAATAAGGAATAAGGATAGGAG